ATGTACGCCGTAGCACTGATTGGTTCGGGCCAGCTCGTAGAGGGTTTAACTCAATCGGAACAGATGTTTGCACGCATTAGAAGCTCAGCTATTGATCACAACGGACAACTGGCTGATGAGATCGAGGAAGGTACTGATTTCATTGTTCAATACATGAAGAAGCGCTCTATTCAAGATCCACGTGAGATTATTCCAGAGACTCCTATGTATCAACAAACCTTCAGCCCAGTATCATTCCAACAACCCCCAACTTATGAGGATACCTTCGACCCATATGCAGCATCCACCGACTTCAAGGGTTCCGCTCTAATTGCTGATGAGCTTGAGCGAGGTACCAGTGGCCGCTCCAAGGTATCGCGACTAAATGATGCTCTTGGAAGATTCAAAAACATCCGCCGAGCTGGACGTCACCCTCGATACATCACCTATGCCAAACTCATCTCTGCTGCTGCCCGCGAGGAGAAAATGAATTTGGTTCACGATATCCTCGGAATGGCTCGATCCGATATCCCATTAATTCCACAGTACTCCGTCGTTCGTTATGGATGGGTTTCGATCCTGGATGCTATGGTTGGAGCCTGCCTTACTCTCGGAAACCGTACATTAGCTGCTCAATATCACCAAGAACTTCTCGATATGGGTGCTGCTCCTACTGCTAATACCTTCGGCCTGTATATTACCACATTGAAGGAGTCAACAAAGACATTCGATGAAGCTTCGGAAGCAGTTAAGATCTTCCATCGTGCCAAGACTGAAGGTGTTGAGCCATCCTCATTCCTTTACAACGCTCTCATTGGCAAACTTGGAAAGGCCCGTCGGATCGACGACTGTCTTTTCTACTTTGCTGAGATGCGTGGACTGGGAATCCGACCAACGAGCGTTACATATGGTACTATTGTCAATGCTCTCTGCCGTGTCAGTGACGAGAAATTTGCCGAAGAGCTGTTTGATGAAATGGAATCGATGCCCAACTACAAGGCTCGTCCAGCACCATACAACAGTTTGATGCAATTCTTCCTCACCACCAAACGCGACAAATCAAAGGTTCTGGCGTACTATGAGCGCATGCAGAGCAAGGGTATTCAACCGACCAACCACACCTACAAGCTTCTTGTTGATACTCACGCTACTCTTGAACCTATCAATATGGCCGCCGCTGAGGCTGTTCTTGATGTCATTCGTAGCACTGGTCAAACTCCCGAGGCAGTCCACTACTCATCTTTGATTCATGCTAAGGGCTGTGTCATGCACGACATGGAGGGAGCGCGAGCTGTGTTCGACTCTGTCATGTGCGACTCATCGATTCGTCCTCAAGCTTGCCTCTATCAAGCCCTTTTCGAATCCATGGTAGCCAACCACCTCGTTGCCGATACCGAGCCTCTTCTTCTCGATATGGCCACCCGTCGTGTGGAAATGACACCGTACATTGCCAATACTCTTATTCACGGATGGGCCAATGAGTCAAAAATCGAGAAGAGCAAGGCCATCTTTGCATCTGTTGGTCGCGAAAAGAGAGAACCGAGCACTTATGAAGCCATGACCAGAGCATATCTTGCTGTTGAGGATAGACAAAGCGCCACAGCTGTCGTCCAGGAGATGCTCAGCCGTGGGTATCCTGGGGCTGTATCCAATAAGATCCTCGAGCTTCTTGGTGGCGGACATACGGAGTCTGCTGCTTGAATTCACACATCCTTCGGTTCTAGTCGTCTATCCCGTCAAAAGCTGGATGGTCAATTCTACACACTATACATCTCCTTTGTCATAATGATACCCGTGCTTTTGCACATATTGATAGGTTGCAGCGGGGTATCCGGGGTAGTGGGCCGGCACTGTTCCCGTGTTCAGCATGCTGGCCAGCTGATTTTCCTTTGTCCTTCACATAAAATTTGCTCTGTTGCATGTATCAACATTGAGCCATGGCGTTTTGGGGGATAATGAATGAAGGCATGGTGTCAACGGCCTGGGCATGAATAGACAAATCTCCACTCATCATCTCGCAAAGGACCGGCAGTCGTATTTTCAAAAGATTGGAGATACCAAACCGACCTTGTAAGGTGGACTGTAATATAGAATATAATAATATCAGTCATAAATTACAAGATGATATGCTCGAAATTACGTGCTACGGTAAGTTGAACAACTTTTGTGAGATGAATAAAAATGTATGATCAGCACCGCGTATCAAAGACTAAACGGCGCAATGGTGATCAGTACAAAGCCAAGACATGGTGAGGCTTGTTCGCAGCCATGCCGCCAACCCACAGGGTTGGAAAACTCGCTGTGCGGGCCAAACATAGATCGAAAACCCAACATCATAGCCACCAATACGCCTTAAAGTTGCTTGCAAAGAGCTTATCTTTTCTTCCAGCCTCCTCAATATCTTGCCTATGGGCAGTGAGAAGCGAGCCTATTGTCCATCCAATTGGAAAGAGCAGCACGAGACCGATTAGGGACGCTGTTCGTGAATCATCATTTCAGGGTATATTCCGCTCATCGTTGCCCTAACATCGCGGGGTCCAAAGATGAGATGCGTATACAGGGAAGTATTAGAGTAGTACCAAGGCTTTGGGGCCAGTAAAATTTATTCATCACCATCATGTCGACAAAGTTCGAATTGTGCCTACATATCTTGCCCGTGATAGGGATGGAATAAAGTTCATCAGATTCATCGATATGCTTTTCCCCCGGCTCACCAATCACAGCCTCCCCAACTTCCCCCCCTCCCCAGTCTCGTGGATACAACCAATTAGAGAGTCAGAAACAAAGGACGAATCTATAATTGCCACGAAACCTTGCGACCGCCCACCAGCTCGGGATCCTTCAAACTCAGCCTCACGTCAGGGTAATCCGCCCTATCAAGCGATCACCTGCATTGCTGACTAGCCTGCTCTCGACCTACTCTCAATTACATCAAATCAGATTTGGCTATCAAGCCTGAGGGGCTGACCTACAAGGCAGCCAACATGGCTCTCTTGAGACATCGCCGCACCAAGCATAAATGTATAATTTCCCCCCTCCCCTACGTAAAACACAGTGTAAAATGTTGTAAGAATTGATCACCAGGATCAAACTAGGGACCGCATCCTTCTTCCTTCATACATAACAGTATATATGATCCTGCCATCCTTCGTTTCGAGGTTGTTTCTCCTTCGCACCTAACCTTACCAAACCATCGAAAGAAGAGAGAGAGAGAAACCCACGAGAGAGTAATCCGCCGGATCCTATACTGCAAGAACCACAACACGTTTGAAGAATCCTGCACCGCAAAAGAAGCAAATCCTCTATCACGAAACGCGACCAAAAAAAAAACCAAAAAAAAAGGAACGATGGGAACAACCCACTCAATCCCCAATTCGCGCTCCTCCTCTCGACCCAGCACCTCAAACTACTCGCACCCCAGCACCCCGTCGCTGCTGAGCACCGCACGCTTCCCCTCGATCACAACACGTCCGTCGCGGCCGTCGCTGTGCTCATCATCATCCTCCTCCACCAACACATCAACGCAAAGCAGCGCGTCGACGTCTCCGACCACCGGGGCGGCCCCGGCGCCGCTCCGCATCGGCTACCCTTATTACGAGGAGCTCGCGCTGGAGGCGTCGAAGAGCATGAAGAAGGGGAAGCGAAGGAGCATTTTGCGGGGGAGCATCTCGAGCTTGAAGTCTTGAGGTTGAAGGAGGAGGGGCGCGGATATGGATTTTTTTTGGGGGGGGTCTACGGAGGGGCTGAGGGATGATGCTGACGAGATGAGACGAGACGGGGCCAAGAACGTCACGTTGAGACGTTGAAAAGCGCCGCGCCGCCGCCCCGCCTCTCTGGAGGCATGTTCGAAGTTTGACCGGCGTTCGTTGATTGCGGCGTATCTCTGAGATATCCGCCTGCGCGCTAGAGGGAGGGTAGGGAATAAAGGTGGGCATTGAAAGGCGCATTTTTGTGATACCCCGGTCCCAGATCAATCTGGAGGTTGTAATTTGGTTCTCTTAAGGCGCTTAGCAGAAATTCGGCGTCCCGGAACCGGTAGATGGGATACGGACGGGTATCTTGATAGTCTTAGAAAGGGAAATACAGATATTTCTGGTTTGGCGACTCCGATATGTGACCTACCATGCCTAGTTTTTTCGTGCATCCCATGATACCGCATTTGTGATATATCCGTCATTTCGGCGCACGAAATGTTTTTCATTTTATAGATTAAGTACTCCCGACGACGCGAACATTAATTGACGGACGTTTAATCACGGTGTATCATCCATGAGATGACCCTTTTCAGTAGTTTCCGCCAGCACTAACGTTTGCATTTAATAAAGCACGAATGATATTGAATAAATTACCATATGTTGAATGATTCTTGATAGGTGCTTTGATATTTTAAAATCGTATATCACCACTAGGACCACACATACATACATGGTGATAATCCCAGGACATCTGGATCCAGCGGATCATCCAGCTACCTGCGTAGTTCTGGGCTGCAGAATCCTGAGCAGGAGACGCCAATAGCATAACGATCCTACAGAGCTCAGATTGAAAGGTCGTTCAATTCAGCCTACGCGGGGCAAGGAGCTCTAGCGGACATTTCCACGTAACCCCGAATAATCCGGTTTCCTCGTCGATGCTCCGAGCTTCAAAAGGGTAAGAAAATGCTAGGTTCAATTAGCTAGGCAATTCATTGTGTCAACAACTTGATACTTGCATAACGTGGTTTCTAAAATAACATAATTTCATACATGTATATCCAGGAAGCCAATATCCTGAAACATCCTATACAGTAGTAGCATTTAATAATTCCCTTTTTTTTTTTTTCACTGTAGTACTTCAGACATCTTGTGGATGCCTTTGCATCATAAAGAAAGCATGCCAAGTCTCGCTTCCCTCACAGCCCTGGCACCATGTCCGCCGCCCAAAAAAAAAGATAAATTTGAGCCGTCATCATTGAAAATTCTGTTCGTTTTTACAAAATAATAGAATGAACGCTCAGGACCTATTCAAAATGGTAAAAATAACGAGCGATAAGGGACTCGAACCCTCAACCTCAGTCTCGACACTCATGTGTAGGAGGACCACGCGCTACCATTGCGCCAACCGCTCGAACGTTTGAAAATATTGTAAAACTACTTCTATATATATCCATAAATAACAAACCTCAGGCTCAGAGACTAGCACTAGAACATATTCTCCAAAGTATAAGCTTTGCCGTTCAGTTGTAGTTGAGCGAGGCTTGGCAACACAGCTTTATCCTGTGATTAGTCATTTACCGTGTTGGGCCTTACTCGAAACCCTCAGTCTTGCGGCTTTTACACAGTAGGATAACTGCACGGTTCCATGCGCTAGATTTATAGTGCGCATTATTATTAATAAATCCCGCCATATCTCAATTTTGTGCTTCTTATCTTCCTATTTAGTATATGCACATGAAATCTAGTACCACATGTCCGGCTTCATTGGCTGCGAACGTTAACCGAGGCCACCCCTTACGATCCCTGCATGCGTTCCTTGGACAGATATCATTGCGAACCTGCCATCTATCTTCCCATCACCCCCATTTCTAAAGTCGTAAAACATCGAAAAGCGCAAGATGGCTTTCTCCATGCACAGCCATTCCGGGCAATTTTGTCCAGGCCATGCAAAGGACCAGCTTGAAGACATAATCCTCACTGCGATATCGAAAGGCTTCCAGTCCTTCTCGCTAACTGAGCACATGCCCCGTGACTCAGATGCGGATTTATATCCTGAAGAGGTATTACCCAATTCTCTCCTCCTCGCTACAAAAACGGACTCGATGCATAGTATAGATCGATCTAACCATACCTACGTAGACCTCAATCGAGCCTTTGCGGCCGATGCACTCCGCATTCCTCGTCGAAGCACAACGCCTCCGCACCAAATACGCCGCCCAGATCAAGCTCCTGATCGGCTTCGAAGGGGAGTGGATCCGGCCTTCCTACGGGCCGTTGATCAAAGAGCTGGCTTCCGATCCGGCAGTAGACTATTTCATCGGCTCCGTGCATCACGTCCATGGCATCCCCATCGATTACGACGCTGCTTTCTACCGGAAAGCGCGTGATGTATCGGGCGGGAGCGACGAAAGGCTTTTCGAGGATTACTTGGACGCGCAGTTTGAGATGTTGAATGAGCTGCGGCCCAGGGTGGTGGGGCATTTTGATCTCATTCGCCTCTTGAGCGATGAGCCGGATCGCGATTTGCGGCCCTGGAAAGGGGTGTGGGAGAAGGCGGTTCGGAACCTGAAAGTGGTGGTTGAGCAGGGAGGTCTGTTGGAGGTCAATAGCGCTGCGCTGAGGAAAGGTTTGAAAGAGCCGTATCCAGGGAAAGCCATTGTGCAGGAGTTTTTGGGGTTGGGTGGCAAGTTGACGTTGAGTGATGATAGCCATGGGATCGCGCATGTGGGAACGAATTTTGGGAGGGCAGTGGAGTATCTAGAGGGGTTGGGAGTAAAGGAGGTTTGGCTGTTAGATAGAAAAGAGGTGGGTCTGTTGACCAAGAAGGGAGTGAGTTTGGAGGATGTGAAGACGAGTGATATATAGAGCGTTGGATACTCGGGGTCTATGCTCCTTCGTTGAAAATCTGCTCCCATACCTCTATTATAGATAGACCAAAATAGATAAAGCAGAATAGATTCGTATGCTTAAGGGAAAGGAGAGGCGCCTCATAATTGTGGATCCTCCTTCCCCTGGACACGAACATGCCTAGCCAAAGGCAATTACTCTCGGATCGATCTGAGGGCAACTAAAAAAAATAAAAAACTTAGAAAAAATATAATTCCATTGACATGCAATAAAGTCAGATTTCTAAGGATATGATTGACCGGAGGTTTACTCAACAAGATCCATGCTTTTCCGTTCCAGCTGTTCAGGCAACAACTCCAAAGTACTAGCACGGGAGTTTCTCCCTGATCCTTCGCCACTCCACATCAATCAACTAGATCATGCGGCCTTCTTATAAACTTTCAGAACTCAACTTCATATTTTCAATCTGTTTATTTCTTGTGCTCCCATTCCAGATGGCTGCATGATATTATCCTTCTGTACTACCATGACAGAAGCTCTGGATGGTTAAGTAACCCTATCTTGAAACTAAGATTAAAGGAGCCAGTTGCAGCACTGGTCGCAAGCTCCGTACCGTACGAGAGCCACCATTGTAGTTTGTCTTCAGATCAATATAGAGGCACGTTGTCGCTAAGCCGACAGCTATTTCAGACAGTGCTTTGCTGCCACCTTCCATATGTAAAATTTCATTAGATGAGACAAGAGCGTGACGTTGCGAACTAAGGGTAGAGAGCTGCATAAGCGATGCTGGCAAAGAAAAAGAGAGAAACATGTAGCAAACTTCTGCATTCAGGTGCTATGTCAGAACTCTGCGGTCACCTCCCCAGAGCCCACCGGTGGTTCGCCTAATACAATGTTTGATACATCAAACAGAATTCCATCATCTATTTTGATCAATCTACCCAACAACAATACCATAAAAAAAATTAAATCCATCTGGGCATCGTTCCCTACTCAAACCGCAGCGCAGCAGCCTCCCCCAGCAGCCTCTCAATCTCCCCATATTCCGCTCCAATTTGGCGCTGTTTCTCGTCATCTTATTTTGGCTTATAGATTTGCACTTCATACGCCTTCTGCAAAGTTGCCTTAAGGGCCTTCTCGCAACCCGGATTCTCGGCAATCTTGCAGGATACAAAATTCGGAAGCTGCTTCAGGATATTCGGGCCGTTGATGATAGTATTCTTGATCCGCCTGATGATCCCCAAGACGATATCGAGCCGATTTTTTACAATTGGAATGCGCGGTAGGTCTGAAGTGACTACAGAGGGGATAGGGACCGGGAGAGAGATGGTGCGGGCTGGGCTTGGGATGGATGGATGGGGAAGTGTTGGGCTTATTGGTGAGTGGAATTTTGGCAGAGGCACGCCTGGGATTGGGACAGGTACATCGCTGTCATTTGGAGGCTGTGGCAGGCCAGGAACGCGAACTGACGGGTGAGGCGTAAGCTCCGGAGTTAGGAATTGTGGTGCCGTAGCCACGAGAAGAGGTAGGCCGAAAAGGGCAATTTTGCTGCAACGCATCTTGAATGATATGTTGCTCGAATATTGTTTGGGAGTTTGACTGAGATGGTGATAACGGCAGATGTAAGCCAAAAATGAAATGAACGATACGGCCGAAGGTCTTGCGATGTGGCCTGGGAAATAACTTCTTTAAGGACAATTTAAACACTGTGAACTCAACGATTATGCTATTCAACAATGACAAAGTCTTATGTCTTAGAAACTCTATGATGGTAAGCTTTGAGCAAGATAACGTTATTAGTTGGCCCTGCTGAGGCGTGGGAAAGTTAACACAATTAACAGAAGGCATGAGTGAGCACGAGCTCGGACTAGATGCTGTGTCTTGAAATAACAAATGGGACTATTAATATATGATCCAGGATGCTCGGGAAAGAATAATCTGACTTTGTGATGCCGACCGACGATATGTCAGGCTGGTCGATGTGCGAATTAAGGAGATTGTGCGAAGCTCCACTATGTTGAAGTATACCACTAGTAAAGCCTCGCATATTGAATTGAAGGCAAATATTCAGAACCAGTAAAATATACTTTATCTAAAGGAGGCTGATAGGCAATAAAACTCTGCCGAGTAGTCCTGACGTCGGCCCATGTCCTTCTGGCCAGACCTTTGTTCCATAAAATTGGCAAGCGCTACTAATGTTCTAGCTTTACTTCTCCAAAACAATTTGCGGGTCTAATCGAGCGAATGACTTTGAATTCCAGGTAGGCATAACTCAGAGTAGAACGAGCCAATATCGTAACATGACAGGAAGACAATCAAAGCTTCGTAGGATCATATGCAGAAACACATGGCATAATTATTGTAGATAGACTATAATTTTAGGGCTATGTGGGGGGTATTATTGAGCTGCCACCCGCCTTAAATGTTTTAAAAACTGAGTGTTAATGTGGCTATTCGAATGCAAAGACGACGAGGAAGCAGGAAAGCAAAGGAGTAGGGAATATGACGGTAGGTATATCACAACTATTTTGACTCGTCGGGGTCCGTCTTCAAACAAAGTCTAGGTATCTCATGATATCAAACTTCCAGAGCCGTGGAAACCGACTATCAGGGAAGATATAAGACTATACAAGAGGAATGCGTGTGACAGGGGTTGTGCGATGTGCAACGAAATGTCATGATGTACGGAAACAAGTATGATAGGTTGCTAGAATATATCTTCTGCCTAGATGCTGGATTACGGACCCGAGTACCAGAGGCTTGAGCTTGATGAAAGCTAAATCGCTTGACAGGGGATATATGATCAGCAACAAAGGTCAACTTCACAACTCTCAAGCATGATAATAGGATGCTGGTGAAGAAGGCTGGGCCATAATATTGCCAACCTGGAAGCCGTTGCCCAAAGATCCTGGATAGATCAAAGCTAACCAGTCTGACAGGGGTTGTGCGAAATGCAGCAAAAGCTGTGCTGTTAAAATACCAGGATTGATTCGACTGACTTTATGGAATATACTTGCAGCCTTATGGTGGTTGAGCAGGAGTCTGCCCACAGAAAGCCAGACCGACTCAAAGCTAGAAAAACTAAGCAGTTGTGACCAGGGTGAGGCGGCATGCAACAAAAGATCGATTCCATGATGCTGGCCCATGACATTGCGCAGATTCGGTTGAGGCGATCTGGGGATGCTGGCTAGCTCGCAGCCCGACCACAAACTGGGGGTTTTCCAGAGAATTTTAGCAAAAAGTGGCAGGGGCCTGCAGACGTGCAACAAAAGCCAGAGCAGATGAAGCCGGGATTCCTCACTTCTGATTTGGACAGCTGCATTGCTTTTGTCGGCTGGGATCCAGATCTAGGAGGTTCGTGCAACAATTCCAGCAGCTCGTCTTTCTGGCACCCTCTTATAGGTGTCCAAGATCTGATCAAAGGCATGATATAGCCTTAATCCAATGCCTTATCTTACCTGGAAGGGTTTCGGAAGTGAAGCCATGCACCTGCTGCTTTGCTCGAAGACGGTGACTCGTGCACAAATCGGCTTTGCATTTCTGTAATGGGAGGTTGGGCGAATT